TCTTGGACAACAGCTCTATAATAGAGCTTGAAGTCAGGGATGGTGATGGTTTCAGATGTTGCTTTATTGAGTATGGCTTGTTGTTTTGGCTATACTGGGTCTTATGCTTTTCCATTCAAAATTGATTACTGCTCTTTCAAGGTCTGTGAAGAATTGTGCTGGTATTTTAATGGGGATTGCACTGAATCTGTAGATTACTTTTGGAAGGGTTGCCATTTTTTCTACATTGATCCTACTTATCCAAGAGCATGGGAGATCTTTCCTTTTTCTGATACCTTCTTTAATTTCTTTTTTTACATACTCAACGTTCTTTCCCTACAGATCTTTCAAATGTTTTGTTAGCATTACCCCAAGGAATATCATGTTGTTTCTGGCAATTGTAAAGGGTGATATTTCACTGATTTCTTTTTCAGTCCTTTTATCATCTGTATATAGCAGGACTACTGATTTTCTTGAGTTGATTTTGTATCCTGACACTTTTCTGAAAGTATTTATCAGCTGTAGAAGTTCCCTGGTAGAGTTTTTTGTATCACTCATGTAAAGTATCATGTCATCTGCAAATAGTGAAAGTTTGACCTCTTCCTTTCCAATTTGTATCCCCTTGGTCTCCTTTTGTTGTGGTATGCCTCTAGCTAGAACTTCAAGTTCAATATTGAAAAGGTATGGAGAGTCTGGATAGCCTTGTCTTGTTCCTGATGAAAAAGTATTACGTTGTCAATAAACTGACTCAATAAATTAAAAGACTACAACACACTCTGTCATGCAAAAGTGCTTTATTGAACTTATTGGAAACTGTAATGCTAAGGATGGTGGGGGAAATAATATCTAGCTAACCTCCCTCTTGAAACCATAGAAAAAGAGATGAAGCTGAATAGTGAGAGTACTGTATGCTCAATACAAATTCATCAGGCGGTGTTATTGTCTGAAAAAGGAATATATGTGCATGTGATACAAATCTTTAAGTAAGGTGGCAAAGGAAAATGCAGAGGCCAAAATATATAGAGAGATGGAACACACCTCATCCAATCCATTATGGTTTTTGTCCTATCCTCTGTCTATTCTCCATTCCCTGTGCTTATGGTCTCTCACAACCTGATTGTGCTGGAATAAAATCCTCACCATTCTCAAATTTCTCTTCCTATCTGAGGTTGGGTATGCACTGTTGGCCCACAGCAGTTCAGGATACTCTGATTCTCAATGCCAAAGCTTCTCTCTCTCTCCCTCTCCCTCTCTCTCTCTCTCTCTCTCTCTCTCTCTCTCTCTCTCTGTCTGTCTCTCTCTCTCTGTCTCTCTCTCTCGTCTGAATCAATGAAAATTTATTGTTTTCAAATAAATCAAAAATCCCTTAAAAGTCATGCTCTGTGTCTCTAATGAGTCACTTGAATACTGGCATTCATTTCTCAGAGCCAAGGAGTAATCTCTTATCATTTATTCCCAACATGAACATAGGGAGATCTCCAGGTCATAGACTCAGAATTCCCGGAAATGTAGACATCTCTTATTGACAAAATAGACCTCATTTTGCTCTCTTATACCTCTGCATGTTTCCATGTGCTCCGAACAATGTTGAGGAAAGCTGTCTGGCAGGACATCACCAATGTCATCATAGACTTCAACAGGGGCAGGGTACATCTCCAGGGTCAGTAGTTTCAGGTGGGCAGTGTGCTGCAGCAGCTTCCTCTATTTAGAGTTCTCTATATAATTCTGCACCCCATCTTTTAATTAGATCCTTTGGTGTTTCGGTGACTTGCTTGTTGAGTTCTTTGTAATTTTTGGAGATTAGCCCTCTGTCAGATGTGGGATTAGTGAATATCTTTTCCCATTCTGTGAACTGCCTTTTTGTCTTGTTGACTGTGTCCTTCACCTTACAGAAGCTTCTTAGTTTCAGAAGGTCCCATTTGTTAATTGTGCGATCTCAGTGTCTGTGCCACCAGTATTATATTCAGGAAGTGGTCTCTAGTACCAACTCATTGAAGAGTATCTCCCACCTTCTCTTCTAAGTGTGTGAGTGTGGTTGGATTTATGTTGAGGTCTTTGATCCATTTTGACTTAAGTTTTGTACATGCCAATAGACATGGACAGGATTGTCTACCTGTCTATTTTTATGCCAGTGCCAAGCTGTTTTCAGGGTTATAGCTCTGAAATAGAGCTTGAAATCAGGTATGCTGAGGCCTCCTGAAGATCCTTTATTGTATATGGTGGTTTTGGCTATCCTGGGTCATTTGGTTTTCCATATAAAGTTGATTATTGTTCTTTCAAGGTCTGTGAAGAATTGTGACAGAATTTTGAGAGGGATTGCATTGAATCTGTAGATTGATTTTGGCAAGATTGCTGTTTTTATTATGTTGATCCCACCAATCCAAGACCATGGGAGATCTTTCCATTTTCTGGTATCCTCATTGATTTCATTCTTTAGAGACTCAAAGTTCGTGATATACAGGTCTTTCACTTCCTTGGTTAACATTATCCCCAGGATTTTGATGATGTTTATGGCTATCATAAAGGGTGATGTTTCTCTAATTTCATTCTCAGCCACTTTATCATCTGTATATAATAGGGCCACTGTTTTTTTAAATTAACCATGTATCCTTCCACTTGCTGAATGTGTTTACCAGCTCTAGGAGTTCCCTTGCAGAGATTTCCAGGTCACTTATGTAAACTATCATATCATCTGCAAATAGTGAACACTTGACTTCTTCTTTTCCTATTTGTATCCCCTTGATCTCCATTTGTTGTCTAATTGCTCTAGCTAGAATTTCAAGTACAATATTGAAGAGATATGGAGAGATTGAACAGCCTTGTCTTGTTCCTGATTTTACAGGAATTGCGTTGAGTTTCTCTGTATTTACTTTGATGATAGCCATTAGATTACTGTATATTGCTTTTATTATGTTCAGGTATATTCCTGTTATCCCTGATCTCTCTAGGACCTTTATCATGAAGGGGTGCTGGATTTGTCAAAGGCTTTTTCAGCATCTAGTGAGATGATCATGTGTTTTTTTCTTTTGAGATTTGTATATATGGTGGATTACATTGATAAATTTTCTGATGTTGAACCATCCCTATATTCCTCTGATGAAGCTTACTTGACCATGTTGGATGATTTTCTGATGTATTCTTAAATCTGATTTGCTAGTATATTATTGAGTATTTTTGCATCGATGTTCATGAGGGAAATTGTTCTATAGTTCTCTTTCTTAGTTGTGTCTTCATGTGGCTTTGGTAACAAGGTAATTGTAGCCTCATACAAAGAGTTTGGCAGCAAGCCTATTGCTTCTAATGTGTGAACACTTTGAGGAATATTCAAAATAGCTCTTCTTTGAATTTCTGGTAGAATTCTGCACTGAAGGCATCTGGGCCTGGGCTTTTTTTGGTTGGGAGACATTTGATGACTGTTTCTATTTCATTAAAGTTTATAGGTCTGTTTAGATTGTTTATCTATTCTTGATTTAATTTTGGCAAGTGATATCTATCCAGGAAATTGTCCATTTCTAAATTTTTGATTTTTGTGGAATACAGGTTTTCAAAGTATGCCCTGATTATTCTCTGGACTTCTTCAGTGTCTGTTGTTATATCCCCCTTTTCATTTCTGATGTTGTTAATTAGCATGCACTCTCTCTGTCTTTTGGTTAGTTTGGACAAAGGTTTGTCTATCTTGTTGATTTTCTCAAAGAACCAACTCTTTGTTTCATTGATTCTTTGTAATGATTTCCTGGTTTCTACTTGATTGATTTCTACTCAATTTGATTATTTCCTGGCTTCTACTCCTCCTGGGTGAGTTTGCTTCTTCTTCTTCTAGAGCATTCAGCTGTGCTATTAATTCTCTAGTGTGACTGTTCTCCAGGTTCTTCATGTGGGCACTTAGTGCTATGTACTTTCCTCCCTGAAGTGCTTTCAGAGTGTCCCATAAGTTTGGGTATGTTGTGTCTTCATTCTCATTGAATTCCAGGAGGTTTTTAAATTCTTTTTTTTATTTCTTCCTTACCCAGGCATGGTGCAAATATGCTTTGTTCAATTTCCATGAGATTATAGGGTTTCTGCAATTTTTGTTATTGTTGAATTCTAATTTTAATGCAGACACCAGATATAAACATCAGATAACCTGAAACAGTTCAAAGTGTTTCTGCCTGCTGACATCAAATACTGTTCACCAGAAGGAGCAGTAAGCACCCTTACCCTATGAGCGATCTCTCCAAGACATTCTCTCTAGCTTTCTGGCAGGGGATACATGAAGTTTAGATGTAGAAAATCTCCAAGAGCATGGCATGTTGGGCCATTATATTCTCTGAAAGTTCCAGGATGCAGAAGGCATAGAGACAAGTGGACACAAGACTATGCAAACACAGTAAGCTTAACAAACAAGTAAGAGATTGTCAATAAACTGACTCAATGAATTCAATGTCTGAAACACACTCTCTCATGAAAAGCTGTTTTATTGAAATTATTGAAACTGAAATACTAAGGATGGTGGAGAAATGGCATCCAGCTTACATCCCTATTGAAACCAGAGGAAGAGAGATCAGGCTGAATAATGAGAGGACTGTGTGCTCAACACGAGTTCATTCTTCAGTGAAGGTTATTTTTCAAAAAAAGAAACATATATTACCAATCTTTATGGTGGACAAGGAAAAGATGGAAGCCCAACTCAAACAGAGACATGGAGCACAACTCAATGAATCCATTGTGCTCTTTGTACTATCCTGCCTTTCTCCCCTTCCCTGTGTCTATGGTCTCTCATTCCCTGATTACACTGGGATGCAATCCCTACCATTTTCAAATCTCTTTTCCTGTGCAAGGATGGGTCTTCACTGTTGGCCCTCAGCAGATAAGGAGCCACTAATTTTGCAGATCAATGCTTCTCTATCTCTTCTGAATCAATGAAACTATATTGTTTCCATATAAATCTGTAACCCCTTGAATAGACATCTTCTGTGTGTATCTGATGAGTCACTTGAGTCCTGGATTTCATTTCTCAGAGTCCAGCAGTGATATCTCATTCTTTATTCCCAACATGAACATAGTGAGGCCTCCTGGTCATACACACAGAATCCCTGGCAATCATGACATCTGTTACTGACAAAATAGATCTCTTTCGGCTCTCTTACACCCCTGAGTCTTTCCAAGAGCTCAGAACAATGTTGGGTAAACCTGTCTGGCAGGATATCACCAATGTCATCATAGACTTCATTAGGGGCAGGGTACATCTCCAGGGTCAGCTGTTTAAGATTGGCAGTGTGCTGCAGCAGTTTCTGTAGACTGGACACAGATAGGAAGTTATTCTCAAAATTCACCATAACCAGCTGGGAACACTGGCTCAGGGCAGGGAGCAGGACACCGATTTGTAAGTCCATGAGCATACAACCCTTCAGTTCTAATGTCCGCAGTGTAGCTCTCAGTCTCTCTAGCAGTCTTCCTAGGGTGTGACTTAAATTTAAAAAGTTGACACCACTCAGGTCCAGATGTACAAGTTGATGGACGCTTGGACACTGGCAAAGATACATCATGTCTGATTCTGATAGCATGCAGCGAGTGATTGCAAAGATCTCTAAGGGACTCTCCAAGTTCCTACAAAAAGACACAGGAGTTTACCTCAGTAAGTCTAATAGTGGTAGAGACAGGGCAAGGTAGTCCATATAGGAGAGGCTAGTTAGTCCCAAGGTCATTCTGAGAGTGTTGTGAAGTCCACAATCAAGATGTGCCATGATGGAGAATTAACAACACATGCCCATCGTTGTGACTGCCTCTGTCCCCAAATCTATTGCCAATGTACAGTCAAGCACAAACCTCATCAGGTGATGAATTAGTGGGAAACAAAGAAGGACAACCTAGAAGGGGTGGGGTCGTTGTGTCATCCCTGCGTGTCTGTCAACATTAGTCTCCATGAGTCCCCCCTAACTAGAACAACATCTGTTCTGCTTACTGGCCTTCCCTGTGGCCCTAATCACTCTCAGTCATTTTCCATGTACTCAGGCCCTACCTGTGCACCAAGAGCACCTGGGGGTGAATGGGAAGCCCCAGGTGTGCTCTGATGTTTCATGTAACAATGAAAATTTCCTCTCTGCCCTGCAGAGCAAGCTCTGTGTCCAACTCACCTGAGCACTTGGTCCAGTCTTTCCTCCAGGAAGAAGAAACCATTCAAATAGAGATGCTGGAGCTTGTTGAGTTGGGAAAACTGGAAAATGATCTCTGTAAAACACCATTCTTCAAACTCTCCATTCCTAAACAATTCTGAAGGCATGAATATTTCATTGACAAGGAGTTTCTGAAGGTTTCTCATCTGACCCAGGCCAGGGGCAAACATTGCTAGGGTTCTCAGATCCCAGCTTGCATTCACTTCCAACTCCTTTATAGAGCTTGGCTCAAACACCTCCAGCAGCATTAGGGGCTTATAGACAGGGAGGACCCCAAACGCCAGCTTTTCACAGTTCAACTGCAACACATCTTTCCTCTGCTTGGCCCACCAGTAGAAATATTTTAGGGATTTACAAAGATCCTTGGACATGAGGGAAAGGTTCATCATCACAGACACAACCTGTTTTCCCTGTAGTATGGGATGATGAACCACTGATTGGCTCTCACTAAGAACATCTGCAGAGCAGACACCATTCTCTGATCCAGCCCACACATTCCAGAATATATGCTGTGCATCCCGAAGATCAAGCACTTCCAGTTTGCAACGCCTGTTGGTCAAACATGAGACTAAATCAAATGACAGGACTACGAATGTACACTCTGCCTAAACCCCATACATCGGCTTCCCTTAAATCCATTCTTTAAAACAAGATTCTTTCCACTGCTACTGGCTTGGGGAAGAAGAGACAGAAGTAGATGCACTGTGTGTGTCTACATCTATTAGCAGTGCTCTCCACGCACCACTGTCCTTTCTCATTTATGCACTTTTCTAAGAAAGCTGATTCAACTTGGACCACATTCTGAACTGTGTAGTCACCTCACCCCATCCACACTCTTCCCCTCCATGCTACCATTTTCTCACTTACCTCGGTCGATCCTTCTGCTTCAACAGCAAATCAAGGCCATCCAGCACAGCCTTCAAAATCTCCAGGTCAGGAGACTTCATCAGGGCTCCCACAGGAAGGCATCTGAATGGCCAGGCTGCCACCATGTCTCTCAGTATGTTTGTTTGTTTGCCATCGAAGGCAACTTTAAATACTGGCGGGAAGAGTTCCATGGGCAGGATCTTCAGAGCAGAGATAGTTAAGGCTTCATCTTTCAGCAGACTCTTTATTGCCAGCAGCTTGAGCGAGGATGGGGAGCTCATCCTGTCCTTCACATACACAGGTTCTATAGAAAGATGCAGAGAATAAATCCTTTTGGGCATGCCCCTTTTCTCCTTCATTGCCTAAACCGTGGAGTGTTTCAGTCAGTAGTCTAGAATAGCTTGAAAATGTGTATTTCCTATTGCTCCCTATCTGTCTTTCTCATAGCCATAGGTCCCTCAAAGGTCTCATGGAGATGAACACCCCTGGGAACAAATCTCTCTGTTATTTGACCAATCAAAATCTCTGTTCTAGAGAATACTACTGATCAGGGTAATGAGAAATTGGAGAATCAAATAAGAACCAGACTTTGGTGGCAACTGTCTTCAAATATCTCTCATGATCCTCAAGAGCAAAGTGATATTTCCCACAGCCAAGTATGCTTGGCATTCAGTCAATGGAACATGTTGGCAGAACACAAGAAATGGATAGAATCGCTATTATTTGTAAAACTTTAGAACCTGGAGCCACACTAAGCTCCAGACCACACTTTAGGAGATTAAATACTGGGAATTGTCATCTTGATGCTATCCTGAGATTCAAGGCCAACTGATGATCTCTAGATTTTTTCCAACTGCTGTTAATAAGTCTATAGTCACTTTGAATTAAATATATTTATGGTAGACTAGAGTTGTTGGTCAATGTGCCTTAGCCCTTAAATATAAAAACCTCATCATTCTATTCAAGGGCCCAGAAGGTTAGCTCTAAGTCTCAGTAATCATAACACTTAGCTATATGTGGACTTCTAGGCTAGCCTCAGCTAAATGGAATTTTCAGGTTCTCAAGAGCCACACTAAGGAAAAGAAAAACAAAATCAGGAATACAAAGGTGACCTGAGAGACTGGTGATCCTGAGTAAGTTTCTGTGATCTGATGGGGGTGAATGGCTTACCTGATCAGGACACACATAACAGGTGTTCAAATGCCAGCACGTCCTGTAGTCACTTTAGGATCCAACAAACAGTGCCTAGCCTGCCCATGATAACCCTTCTATTCCCCTTTCCTGTCACAACTTCCCTTCATAGCCCCACCTCTCATCCAAAAGATGCCATCTGATTGTATAACTGGGCATCTCCCAATCCAGTACTACTTGGTCTTTTACATCCATGGCTTGAGTGAATTAGATGTGGGAAAGCGTGAAAACCCAGATGGTAGTCAAGTCCCAAAAGCCTCCATAACCCTGCTCCACAAACTCACAGCCCTGGGATAAAATCTCTTCCTTACATTACTATGTTTGTAATTTTCATACAAATTCTCTCTACGTAACTCAGGCATATCTGAACTCCTTATTTACCCTGAGCTGAGCTGGAAGTCTCAGTAATCCTCCTGCCTGATTATAGTGGTAAGAATTGTGTGTGACCAGTTTGATTAGATCTCCCATCAGAAAAGAGAATGAACTGAGTCTATCCTGATAACAAAAACCCATGCCTCAAGTGCTCTCAAAACACTAATGATTTGTCTTTGTGTTGTTAATTAATTAATTAGTTTGTTTATTTGTATCTGCTTTACGTTTTCAGGAATCATTGCCTAGAAGAGTGGATTCTACAGCATCGGTTTCAGTAACTTTCTATCTCCTGGTGAAGATTCAGACTTCCGTATTGTTTCTTGAGACAGTATTTCTAAGTGTAACAGTCCCATAGTCCTGAACCTAGCTCTGGAGAACAGGCTGGCCTGGAACTAACAGAGATCTGCTTGCCTCTATCTCCTGAGAGCCTGGAATAATGGTGTATTGTTAATTAATGTAGCAATATCCATAACAGACCCAGCAAAAATATTGGGGTTCAAGCTTAAGTTGAAGATCTTACAAGCAAAGCAGACTAGTCATTACCACTTACCTTTACCTCAGGCTGAAAGAGTGGATCCCGTCTCTACCAGCTCTCACCAAGTTTCAGACTGCTGTCTCTCCTCGGTGTGGCTGCAGAATAATCCTAAGACTGACTACTGAAGTCCCTGCTTCTACCTTTTGTACTTCTCTAGTGCTGGGATTAAAGGCATGAACTGTGTTACTCTGTTTTGGGATTAAAGGTGTGCCTGGCATGTGGATAACTAGGATGGTTGTGTTGCTATTTTGATCTGCAGTGGCTTTAATAAATCATGAAAAGTATTTTACCACTGGTGTGTGCCATCACCACCTGTCTAAATTGTGATTTATTTACCTTGTTTTTGTGTTTTTTTTAGATACAATTTTTTCTGTAGCTTTTGAACCTATCCTGGTTGTGAATTCAGTGAGATCCTTCTGCCTAAGCCACCAAAATACTGGGATTAAAGGCGTGCACCTCAACCTCACAGCTAAATTAGCACATAGGGACATTCACATCTTTCCATACCGGAAAGATAAGGCCCTGAGACAGGGTTGAAGGCACATGTCTGTAATCCCTAGTGATGGGATTAAAGGCAAGAGCCACCACACTGGACTTCCTTTGAGTATTTTTGAGAATTGGCTATAATAAACAAGGCTGCTCTAGAACTCCAGATCTTTCTGGTACTGTATAGATTCTTAAGCTCATTTTAGAATTCCAGTAAGAATCTTCCCTGTAATTCATATCATTAGCAATTCTTTAATAATCCTTCCCTGGTTAGGGTTTTGGTATTGTTTGAATTATAATCTCCCTCAACTATAGCTTACTAGTTGTTCTGGGATCTTCTACTAGCATTCTGATTACCAACACCATGTCTAGCTGAGCTGAGCACTACTCTTTAGGAATGTGGTTGCTTCAGGTTTGACTATTTGACTTCATATTGTCACAGAGTGAGATTTAAAAGATGAAAGATCCAGGAAACACAAACAAGACACACCTGGGAACTAGAATTAAGGTCTTGAGCATAGAATATCACAAATGCAGGACAGACATTCCAGCCTTGAGTGTCATTGTACCTACCTTAATTGGAAACAAACAGTTAGATGACTGTGGGGATACAATACCTTGGGCAGAGACCCACTTCCCCATCAGCCTGGGAGTAGGCAGCTGTAAGACATGTTTACTAAAAACATGTTTACTGAAAACAATACAATGCCCAGGGCAATAAGTTCCTGACAAGGGCTGGCCCACAGAACTACCCTGACCTTGACCTTTTCCAAAGACTAACTGCCTCTTCTAACACACCCAACTCAGTTTTGGGTGTCAGAGAAGAACCAGCCAGGGGTAAGGAGAGAGCAGAAGCTTTTCTGGAGGGAGGCTTTTCTTGGGAAGTTTTCTTGAGCCTTTTTGGGGTCTGCTTAAAGTTTTCTTTACCGCATTGAACGAGTCTCTGTGTTGTCAATCCCCAACACCCTCTGCACATTTTCAGACAAAGGCTGCACAGCAGGCATGGCAGATGACTTGGGAGTGTAAATGCAGAGCACTTGTACATTGATCTCAAAACCTCACAACCAAGACACAACATATCTTATTTGATCCCTACCCTGAACTTGCCTGAAGCACCCTACAGAAGTTAGACTGTCCAGAATTCCTCTTACACTGTCCATAAAGTGCTGTCACTTCAGGCACCTGCAATCCATGCCAGGTACAACATGCTGAATAAATGAACCAAAGATTCATATTGGGTGTCAAACTAGAAGTTGAATTTCAGAAAGGCACAGCAGCTGGCAAATAGTTCTCACCTCAATCTATGGCTCAAAGGACTGATCCACACTCTACCTCTTCACCAAACCTCAAACTGCTGCCTCTCTTGCTTGCCTTAGGAAGGAATACCTGTCTTCAGTTGATACTGAATACTGAAGACCCTGCTTCTATGTTTTATACCACACTACTGCTCAGATTAAAGATGTGTGATCTGTTACTCTTTTAGATTGATTCAATCTCATGTATCTCTGGGAGGCCTTGAAATCTGAGAGATTGTCTATCTCTCAATCTTGAGTCCTAGGATCAAAAGTGTGTGCCACCACTATCTAGTGTCTGCTACAGGGATTAAAGGGGTGAATCCATACTGCCTTATCTCTAAAACTTAAGGCTGCCTTTGTTTTCTGAATGCTCAGCCAAGCTTCAATAAATCAAAAATAATATATCAGTACAGCCAGGCAACTGTACACTGTTGAACATTCAAATGCACTAGTCAGGCTTCACAGCTAAAAGAGAGAACCCCTACACTCTCAGTGCTAGGCAAGAGCATGGTAAGGAGAGGCTAGCCTGACCTACATAATGAGTTGCATTCAGAAAACACAGCAAATTAAGCAATACTGAAGAAACTACCTTAAATTCCCCTCCCTGACTCTTAGAGCTGATTAACACCTTCAGCAAAGTGGCAGGATACAAGATCAACTCAAGGAAATCAGTAGCCCTACTTTATACAGATGATAAAAGGGCTGAAAAAGAAATCAGAGAAACATCACCCTTTACAATTGCCACAAACAACATAAAATACCTTGGGGTAATGCTAACCAAACAAGTGAAAGACCTGTATCGTAAGAAATTTGAATCTTTAAAGAAAGAAATTAAAGAAGCCCTCAGAAAATGGAAAGATCTCCCATGCTCTTGGATAGGTAGGATCAATGTAGTAAAAATGGCAATCCTGCCAAAAGCAATCTACAGATTCAATGCAATCCCCATTAAAATCCCAGCACAATTCTTCACAGACCTTGAAAGAACAATAATGAATTTTGTATGGAAAAACAAAAGACCCAGGATAGCCAAAACAACCCTGTTCAACAAGGCAACGTCCGGAGGCATCACCATCCCTGACCTCAAGCTCTATTATAGAGCTATAGTCCTGAAAACAGCTTGGTATTGGCACAAAAATAGACAGGTAGACCAATGGAATCGATTGAAAACCCGGGTATTAATCCACACACGTACGAATATCTGATCTTTGACAAAGAAGCTAAAAATATACAATGGAATAAAGAAAGCATCTTCAACAAATGGTGCTGGCATAAGTGGAGACTGGCATGTAGAAGAATGTGGATCGATCCATGTTTATCGCCATGCACAAAACTTAAGTCCAAATGGATCAAAGACCTCAACATAAATCCAGCCACAATGAACCTCTTAGAAGAGAAAGTGGGTGGTACCCTTGAAAGAATTGGTAAAGGAGACAGCTTCCTGAACATAACACCAGCAGCACAGACAGTGAGATAAACAATT